GAGATGGCAAAACCTGCAAGATTGTTGTTTTTTAATCAGCAAAATGACATTCATGTTACTTTGGAGTTAGAATAAGACACGCTTTTGTGAAAATGAAACTGTCGGCAATGTTTCAGTAGAAGAAACAAACTGTGCAGTCATTTATGATAGAGAGCGTATTCTACTATTTACCAAGCAAACAGAAGGAAATCTGACAAATTCATTATCTGAGGTAACAGTGCGTGGTCTGTAATGTCGGTGTGTACAGATATAATGTGTGTGTCGTGTGGTTAATTACCTATTTTGTGCTCCAAGAGTCAGGGAGTGGTGTGTACAAACAAATGTAAGTCATGTGACCTGGCAACTATTAATGACGACTTGGGGCAATCATTGGGATACCCCAGAAGCCATTATGTACAGGTACCATAATGCGAGTGAAAGAGAGAGAGAGAGAGAGAGAGAGAGAGAGAGAGAGACAGACAGACATAAAGAGAAAGAGAGAGAGAGAGAGAGATGGAGAGAGATATAGATAGAGGGAGAGAGAGATAGAGAGAGAGGGGGGAGAGAAAGAGATAAACAGAGAGAGAGAGAGAGAGAGAGAGAGAGAAAGAGATGGAGATGGAGATGGAGAGAGAGAGATATAGATAGAGGGAGAGAGAGAGAGAGAGAGAGAGAGGGGGGAGGAGAGAAAGAGATAAACAGGGAGAGAGAGAGAGAATTAGTGAGTGAGTGAGAGTGTGTGTATTTATGCGAGCGCTTGAACAACAATGCATTGCTATTAGTTGATGTGGTAGGCCTTCACAATAGATGAAGGAGAATTTCATCCATCTCCTCTCTATCTCTGTCATTTAACCGATCATGTCTTTAGTCTTGTTCTGCATACCTGTTTTGAGGGGCTATCCCAACTGCCGGCTACATGTAAATAATCTCAGCAGATTGTTCTAGCAATTCACTGTGACCCACAATTTGGAGAAAAAAATGGTTTTATTAAAAGAAATGTTGCATGGTCATGAAGGAACTCCGGAAAATGAAAATTAGTCTGTAGAATTCCCTAGAGATGGGAAGGTGAATTGTACCTGGGTTGTCCCACTTTTTCTAATGAAAGTTTTGCATTCATGTAAAATAAGTGTTTTGCCTCCATTCTATGCTAGCTTGCCGATAGGGTCCTTTGAGTATGATACTGAACCAGAAAAGAATTTATTTTGATATCCCATTGCTCATCTGAATGTTTTTGGTTGACAATAGGGTTTCCAAAGTCCGGTTATTTTGTCTGTTCTGAGATTCTGATTGGTATCGATTTATCAAGTAAAATGAAATTGTGTACTCAGATATTTTGAGTATGACTACCTGATAGAAATGTCTTGAATAGTGTCATGTTATGTCAGTCTACACATGAATGTCGCTACAGATTCTTTAACAAGGGCATATTGCATGCCAAGTATTCAAATTCATTTACAAATGTCAGAGGGAATGATAACTTTTGAAATAGCCAGATTAAATTGTACATTTAAGGCTTTCAGAGACATTTACACATTTCTGATCAGCACATAATGTTCAGTAGGGGAAAGTGGCTGAACTTGTAGGCTACTATTCGTTAGACTGTGTGTAATTAGAATTGATTGTTGCCTGGTAATCTAGAGATGAATGATGTAGTGTATCAAATCAGGTGGAAATAAACGGCAATAATTATGTTATGCAAGAAAGAGATGCTCTCACAAAATGACATTAATTGTTCTATTATGTGGCCCGAATGCAATGAAGAGTTTGTTTACGTATGTGATCTGCTGTGTAGATGAACCTTGATATTATTTTACCTTTGCCATTCATTTAATACATCATTAAGCCAGTTGACATTTTTTCCCTCTAAGGATTGCAATTTTACAACAATGGCTGCATTTACAAAAAACAGTCAATGTTTTCTTACATTCAGGTGTTTCGTCCGAAGCAAACGTGACGAAAAAATGTAATTGAAAAATCCTCCTCGAGTGTGGCTTTTTGAAACGGCAGCAAAAATGTCACCAAATTTTGCAGTGTGAATGCTCGCTAGCTCTCGAAACATTTGTGAATGATTCCAGGTTTTGATCATGTGACTTCTCGCTTTCTGTGCAATCGCATGCACATCAGCGACAAGTCACGCATGCACGCTACTCACCAAAAAATCAGAAAGAGCAGACAACAACAGTTTTTAATGGGTTTTTTTCAGTAGTGTAGATGGCAGTCCAAAGAATCAATTATTTTTCAAGATGGTGTTTGGGCTGTGTTAAGGGGCTTAATTAATATGTATAAATATATTATGAAATTTGTCTGGGGGCTGAGGATGCTTAATAAGTAGGCCTACTTGAATGCAGTTTCTAAGGTACACATATTTAGAGAAGTAAATCGAGCATCACTGTGTATGGATAAATCTTACAATTTCATAATTCATTTGATGTGTAGGAGAGAATATTAGAATGATAATATTTAGTGGGCAGAAGATGGATTTGATTTGTCTGTTGCCTATGACATTATATAGGCTTATATTGTATGCTGGAAGCTGACATTCACCAGTGATTCTAATTGATTTTATTCATTGATATTTTGAATGTCTAATAAATTTTTTATAATTCCAAATTGATAAAATTTGCCAAACCTGGCATGTTTCCCAGGGATTGAGATGGGGTTATATTCAACAAATTTCATCCAATTTCTAATTCACTACCAAAACTGTCTTTCAACTGTCTTTCCAGGCTATCGAATACAGGTGGCCACTGAATACAGGTAGCCATTCCAGACAGGTACAGGGACCACCTTTTTCACACAAGATGGAGATGATATAAATGACTGCTATGAATACATTGCCTTTATCGAGAGATGGTTACTATAAAGACAGATTTAACTATAATTCTACCTGTCTACGATGACCACCTACGGTGCATGTATGAAGGAAAACAAAAAATATGTAGCCTTTCTTAACAGGTTCTAGAATACTTCCTAGATAAAAAAATTGAAATGACTGCTACACTTGTATGTAGACAGGTGGCCTTTATGGAGAGGTGGCCACACCACTAGGTTCTACTGTGTAGGACTTTACATGAAAATACCTCTATACTCTTCACCTTGATGCGCCATGGTCAGTGTGTTGTTATGATGACGAGGAATGGAGGATCAGGATGGGGTTGGACTGTTGTTGAAATCATGGACATCACGTAGAGGCCATCAGAAGTTCATTGCTTCTCATCAATCATGCACCCTTCTGGGGTGAGCCAAATCGGACAGTACCTCGGGCCTTGCGATATGACGTTGTTAAAGGGACACTACATGTACATGTGTATATTTAAACTTGTAGTTCAGCTCCTGTAGCTTGTTTTGTTTTGTTTTGTCTTATTCTCTGTGTAAAAACCATGTACATGCATACCTATCAACGATATAAACAAATACAACAAAAAAGAATATATGGCTGGATAGTTGCATTTTGGTCACACTACATATTATATACTGGTACTTGCAAAACGTGTTAAACACAATGCTTGCATTTGACATTGAAGTTTTGCTAATTGATCTTGAATGGCTTTCTTTAAAGCTCCTTTTTTAAATTAAATGTTAACCTTGTTTGGCTCTAAAGCGTTGCATAGATTTGGTAAACATTTAGATTCTTGTTCAGTCATAGAGTATTTGAAACATTTGGGGTGATATATACCTTTAAACTCCTTGTCTTGGGCTCAGTTCTTCAATTTCGATTTTTGTTTGGTTCTGAATCAATGCATAAATTTGGTACAGATTCTTGCTCAGCCACAGAGGAGGTGCAACATTTTGGGTAATACATACATGTATATATCCCTTTAAACTTGTTTCCTTTGGCTCAATTCGATTTTGAATTGTGTTCATTTCTAAATCCAGGAGAGATTTGGTATCGCTCATTGTTCAGCCAAAGGGTAGTTGCAACATTTTGGGGTGATATATCCCTTTAAAAGCTCCTTTTCTTGGGTTCAGTTCTTCAAACCCAGCAGATGGATGTATACCAAATATGTATAAGGGTTGTTTACAGGGCTCCTTGTGCCTTGGTTTGGTCTTTCAATGATGGAGAGATGGGGGTTAACATGGTTATTGAAAAGTGCAACAGAAACAAGGAGTTTGAATATGAAACAATTGGAGAGAGGGGAGAGAGAGAGAAAGAGAGAGAGAGAGAGAAAGAGAGAGAGAAAGAGAGAGAAAGAGAGGCAAGAGAGAGGGAGTGAGGGAAAGTGAGAGAGAGAGAGAGAGAGGAAGGGGGAAAGAGAGAGAGAGAGAGACAGAAAGAGAAAGAGAGAGAGAGAGAGAGACAGAAAGAGAGACAGAGACAGAGAAGGGGAGGGAGGAAGGGGATGGGGAGAAAGGCAGAGAGTTGTTTGGAGTTTTATGCTATTTTCTTTGATTTTTATCATGTAATGATTGTGCATCTTTTAAGCGAGGAATTTATTCAGAAAGTTCTCTTGAAAATAGATAACACCTGTTTGCTTCCAGCAAATTATCTTGTTCTACAGGGTACTTGGACAGTAATAGTATTGCCTTGTAAAGTCACCTGACATCTTATTTTTTTGTTTGGGGGGGGGGGGAGGGGGAGGGGGGGGGGGTATTGAGGTGAGAAGTGTTTAGATAATAGTTGCCTTTTTGCTGGCATTACTTGTACGTTCACATTTTCATAATCAACTGTTTTAACCTGTTCTTCAGAGTGATTAAGACACCGTGGCATGAAAGTGAGACTAGGATGATTAATGGGAAATATCTACACCTAGAATCATAATATTGATTGGTACTGTATTGTGCCTTTTCAGCCATATGTCATAATAACGGAAAAACACCCTAATTATCAGCTTACCTTAGGAAATTAATGAAGTCTTGAGAAAGCTGGAAAAGGCCTGTGGCCTTTGAGGAATCAATGGCTGATGTATTTGTTCTTTGTTATCTTTATGTTTGTCTGCATCTGTGTTGATACCCAGCTATCATAGTCATAAGTATACGTGTAATCTTATTTTTTTGTTTTTTTATCTTCTCATATATTGCAGGTGTTTTCAAGTTTATCCTGAGGCCAAGGGCGAAGAGAGACAAGTAAATAAGTGATAAGCTATCAAAGTCGAGGTTTAGGAGAAGAAGGTCAGTTTAAAGTCAAGAGTGAAGTCTATTGGGAAGACACCCAGACAGGATTTGACCTCAACGAGAGGTCAAGGGTCATCTCCAAGCGTTGAGTTCAAGTTGGGATTACCCCAGAGCGAGGAGAGAAGCATAAACACCCAGCAACAGGTTGGCCTGCCGTCACGTGAGCCGTGCTAGCTGTTACAAGCCAAGCGAGACTCCAGGCATCGGGTTACCAAGTCTATTAATACTAGTGCCACTAGCAACATGTAACGTGTTATGATCTCACGCAAATCCCGCGCTGATAAACTTAACAACTCGCCCGCTATCATCATCACTGTCGGCTGGCATCGGTGGTAATGATATGCTACTCTGTCTCACACTTTGCGTCAGAGTCATTCACATGCCTCTAATGAACAGCTACTTTTGTCTGTCACGGCGAGAGCTCCAATCATCCTTCCCAGGCAAGGCCGTCTTTTGAAGTTGGATCGTCTTTGAGAGTGAAGGATCGAGGACGAGGTGTCGTTGATCACACATCTGCTTCTCAGGTTAGTATACCCCTTGATTGGGGGATACATAGTACCATTTAAGTCTTGGCCAATCAGAATAAGCTACCATATTTTAACCTTTTCTGTGGTACATGTATGTTTAGTAATAGTAGAGTAAAACTTGTTGTTTTCTTTGCACGGAGCATGGCTCATCTTGGTATCTTGTTATTTGAAAGAATCTTCTGATATGTTTTAGAGATGCAATCTATCGTTGTGGGTATTATGATGCTGAATTGTTTTAAATTACAACAGACAGCAAGTTGGCTTTTAAAATATTCTTACTTGAAGCTCAAAAATTAAAACTTGTGCATGACCATGGCATTTTCCCCAAATGCATTTCTTAAAGGCACTTTGAATGTACCCCTCCCCTCCCCCAATTGACCATTTTTCTTGTTTATAAATGATGATCATTTTGCTGGTTGTACAATAACTGCTCCAGTTACAATTGAGGTGTGTTAATTGCCTACACTAACCAAATACATAACTTCAGCCCTAAACTCAACACAACCCTAACCCCAAGCTTTTAACCTAAAACCCAATTCCAACCCTCACTCTAAACCTTTAACCTAAAACCCAATTGTAACCCTAACCCAAATCGTAACCCTAAATATTTAACTTAAAACCCAATTGCAACTCTAACCCTAACCCTAACCTAAGCCTTAAACCAAAAACCCAGTTGATACCCTAACCCTAACCCTTACCCTAACTCTTACTCTAACTCTTACTCTAAACCTTTAACCAAAATCCGAGTTAAAACCCTAAACCTAACTCTAACCCTATGTAGCCATCTAAAACCCAATTGCAACCCTAACCTTAACCCTAACCTTAACCCTGAACCTTAACCTAAAATTCTATTACAACCATAACCTTGACCCCATAATTTTTTCAAAATAAAATCCAGAGCAATTATCCCTGGAGCAAGTATTGAAGCATCTGAAACTATTAAATTTGAGTATTTTTTTGGCAAGCATCTTGAAGATAGATTTATTCCTAGTTCCACCGCTCTAATTCAACTCATGAAGGCTGACTTGTACCTTTAAGAGCAAACAGAATTGATGGACAGGTCTGCTATCTGTGATGATTGAAGGCCTCTAAGTTGATCTTCATTAGAATAACTTACATGCCACTGAGTTCTTCAAGAAGAGTTCTCTCTGGGGATAAGGTATTGACTGTACATGTATCTACAAGTACAAGCTGCAACATACACCATGCAAACCTTAACACCATTGATGATGTATTGGTCTGCCTACATGCGATGATAGAGCTTTCTTCGTGATGGGCGGATTATGTGCAAATTTCCCCATGTGACATGTGTCTGTTATCCATTTATTTCATCCAACAACAATAAAAGTTCCTTGACTTGATCATTGACTACTAGTTCTTCCCTTTCTTGAGAAATCATATATTCAAATACCGTTATACTCAATTTAATTACGGTAAAAGTTTTTGATTGTCCAGAAATTAAACTGAAATATCAAGATCTTTAATCATTGTTCCATGACTTTAATTAGAGATTCTACTTTTGTACTGTTTAGATGGTAAATATTTGAACAAACCTTGTTTTTTTACTGGAATCACATATCCACCAATCAGGAGAACCACAGCTGGTGTGAACACATATCGGCCTGTGTTTTAGAACGGGTCCTGCTATTGAGGAGGCACTATCATCATTGGGTGGGGGGGGGGGGGCATAGGTCTTACTTTGTGTATAAAATGTGAATTTAGAGGTTATTGTCAGGGGTCCTGCCATGATCTTTTGGATACCTTGTTTTTGACTTCCTTTTAAAAAGACTTTTTCAGATATGATTTGGTAAACCATGGAAATTTATTTTTAATGATGTAAGTTTCATGTACTTTCCATGTTTGTGTCTAATGATACAGAGCTCAGTGGTTACGCATTAGATAAGTGCTGCGGTTTACTGCTTTATAATTATATAGAAACAAGCCTCAAGCTTGGATGGATAAGATTGCCCCATTAGAGAAGGGGGGATATTCACATATTTTATTTAAAGTATCTACAGGACTGCATTTATAAACCGACTAAACCACACTGCAAGTATACATCAACATCTCAGTCTATAATGGATACCTCGTAGACAGTGCAATAGAAAATTAATGTTATTGCCACAGAAACAGACGATGCAAAATAGACCGAAGATGATGAATAGCCCATGGATTATGCATGTGTTGGAAACAGAATTTTATACTCTAAAAGGGCAGCTTAATTCATCACAGTATGCAGTACTCACAGTGTATATGAAAGCTTTTGTCCGTGCACATTATTTTAGGGGCAAGAGGTGGGAGAGAAGGGTGGTTTTAGGGCAGGAGGAGGAGCACTATAAAGCTTGTCAAGTTCTGTGAAGTTTATCATAAAAAAAAAGAGATTGGGGATGGGGGTGTGAAGAATCCCCCAAAACTTTGAAACAGTCCACCATGAATAAAACAGTGTTGACTGAGAAAATTCTGTCAAATTGTGCTCCAATGGAAGTTCTAATTTTCCTATGAATTCCCCCTTAAAAATGTATTTCTCTTGGCACCCTCACCCTGGCATGAATTATACCCAAAGCCCCCTCTTTAAAGATGAAGTTGAGTTCTGGTCATGCGATTGCATTGTGAAAGAAACGGTGTGGAACCGACCAGAAAAGGTTGATCATCTAGCATATAAAAATTTGTGTGTATTGCAAGGTTCTGGAATCATCAAAATGATAACAAATTTGGCCAAGTCTTGGTAAAATTACAAACACTTGCACAGAAAGATGTATATGGGACTACACGAACACGTGGCGTAAAAAGCCGGCCCCCGATTTTTACGATGTTACATGCATATTTAGAATATGAAGGCATTTGAAGAGCCATGCTTTTCAGGGAACATGTCTTAACTGATGTTCTTCCATACTTGCATAATGAGAACGAGTAATATTCACAAATTATTTTTCACCTCTTCCCAGAACTCAACCTTCTCTTTAAATATGACACTGCCACCAATTTTTTTGCTAGAGGCGCCACACTGTCAGGCTGTCCATTCATCCATTCCTCAGTATCTTGATATCTCAAATTCCATTCATTTTATATATTTACAAACTTCTCTATAGATTGTTTCAAAGGCATTAGATGGTTATGGTATGTAAAGTATACATGATTGTGTGAATAATCCAAATAGTACAGCAGCTTGGATATGGTGTGGATTTAGGAGTCAATTGCATATAAGATGGTAAACCACATATGAATGAATAACTGAATAAAAAAACGATTGATTAATGATAATAGGGCTGCTGCATTACCACCACAACAAAATGAAAATGAGATAAATATAGATGTTTATGTTTTACATTACTTTATCATATTAAATACGAACAGATCAGTGCATATACGCAGTGGCTAATGTTTGAGTCATCTTCCAAAACCCTTCCTTTACAACACCCCCTTTTTAAATTACTCCCCCCCCCCCCTCCACCTTCCCCAGCAAGCATCTCCTTGCTGACATTAATTCAAATACATATCCTGATTTTGTTGTTGTTGCGATTATACTAATGTATAATGTTCTTTGTACAAAGACATGAATCTTCAAAGTTCCTCTATTCTTGGTTTCACTTCAGTGGTCACTTCAGTGGTCAGTAACCACTGAATGATGACCAGTGTTCATGAATTCCTGCATTTATGCTTACAAGGTACATACACCAAGTATGACGCAATACAGAAAGACATTTTGTCAAATGTATTGCATACAAACCACGCACATGATGCAATGGCCCACTATCTTGATTTATTTTTGCTGAGTCACTTTGACTTGGATATATACAATTCCCATTTTGCAGACGAGGTATATTTGGGACCAGTCATATTCAAGTACCAGTAAAGGTTTATTACTGGATAGGATCATGGTTCATGAGTGTGGTGAAAAGATCTTCCATTTGGTTGGCCTCAACACATTCTGGATTTTGCAATTGGTTTTAGAGTTGTGCATTTGGATAGGTATGTAATAAAAACGTACTCACCAAGCCTCATTACAGTGTATTTTTCACTACCAGAACCCAACTTGTTCTTGAAGAAATTACTTTGTTGGGAATCTTGGCATACCATGATCACAATACAGTGAAACTTGTGTAAGGAAATGACTCAAGGGAAACAAAAACGTGGTCTTTCTATACAGGTGGTTGCTCAAGTAGGTTGGAGTAGTAGTTTAACTTTTCCTCTCTCTCTCTCTCTCTCTCTCTCTCTCTCTCTCTCTCTCTCTGTGCAGTGTGGACCCTCCCTATCATCGTAGCTACTATCCTGCAGACGCTCCTTCCTCCAGAACCTGGACGAAACCTGCTGCTAAAGGCAGCAGACGCATGTATGTGGCCGGCCTGGGTGCCCGTGCTCAAACGAAGAAGGAAAGGACCAGCTTATAGTGACCAGCAAGACGAGGGATCATGCACCAAGATGGGGGCAGGTGGGTCATTATAGGGCTCTTTCCACTTGATTAGCTACCGGTATTTGTAATTGTTAACCAATTTTATCGGCAGGTTGGTTGACTCCGCATCTCTCCAAGAAACGTGCTGGAAACATTCAGCATGTTCATATGGATGACCTAGAAATTAACACTATTGTCTACCTAGAATTAAAAGTCAATAGAAACAGAATATAAAGGGTGTGTTTGTACAGAAGAGCAATAAATTGTTTATTCACACAGCTAACAGAATTCACCTGGTAAACCGGATGTCTGGAAAGTGGTTGCTGCGTTGGTGCTGAGCGCACTAATGCATTGTATCATGTGACCTTAAACAGTAATGTTAACTGAAATGTTTCTACAAAATAGAAACTGCAGTTGTACACAGAAAAATACAACTCTGTAGTTTGCTATTCCATTATCATTAATGTCAGATTATGGTGTGTTTCTAGTTTCTACAGAATTATGTACCTGGAAATAATCCATTAGTCATTAGTGGCAGTCTGTTAAAATCCTGTAGTAATGCACCGATTGCTTTCCTTTCCGTTGCTGCAAGGTTGTGGAATAAGCCACCCACCACCCTGAAGACTGCTACATCTGTGGACCAGTTCAATAAACTTTTGAAGGCCCACTTATATTGAATTTTAATACGGTTTTTATTTTATGGGCTCAACTAGTCTCTTTGTATTATCATTGTTTAAGTGGCACTTAAATTTGAAGCCCTCTGTACCTACAAGTAAAGGCTATATACTAAGGCTGTGCACAACAGTGGAATGAGGTACCCGACTACACTCCCAGGCTCACAAGCGAATACTCGAATATACGGACGCCATGTTTTTTTATAATTTTTTGGAATTTTTTGGAATTTTTAAAAAAATTTTTTGAAGTTTTTTATTTTTTTTTTATTTTTTATTTTTTTTATATTTTTTGCCACTACCATACCACTCGGCAGTTTCCCAGGTCCCTTGCCGAAAACGCATGCAATTTTACTTTGAGTTGCAGTTGAAGGCGCCGATTTAATAAGAATAATAACAGTAAACAATGCTGTTTTAAAAACCAAAGATGGCAGAATAATCCATTTTCCTCGAAGTCCAAACAGAAATCTGGACATTTGGTCCCAGTTTCTGAAAGGTGAGTTTGACAGTGCTTGAGTTGGGAAACATTTTTACCGACAGTACCATGCAGCGGTCGCCGCTCTCCCTGGCATGGGTAAGCGTGGGCCTGGACATTATTTTTAATTTTTTTTAATTTTTTTTTTTTGCTGCCGAATATTCAGGTACGAGAAATTGTACCCGAGTAGTTGTCAACCGTGCGGGTACTCGAGCATTCGACTACCCGTCGCAGCCTTACTATATACCAATTACTGTATTGATTGAATTTGAATGGATAACCTATTTAATGGTCCATGCTCTTGACTATGAGTATCTGTATTTTTATTACAGGAAGTCCATGTCATATTTAAAAATGAGAGAAGTAATTAGAACTGGAATTTGACACTTTGAAGTCCATATTTGATAGTCTTTTCCCCCCATAATTTTCCAAGGCACAGCAGAAGTTGAAGAGGTTTTATCTTCCTGTTGTGCACATTATCATAATCTTTATAGCTCTGTAAATCATATCATTTGTAAAGATTTTGTTTAAGTGCTTTGCGATTATGGTCACATTGGCAAGATATGGTCTAGTGTGGACTTTAGCTAGGTATGCATCATATTTAATTCAGTGATCTATACATGTATAGCTTTGTACGCTGTGTAACCTTTCTAAAAAATGAAAGAATTTTGAATTTATTTTGATTTTTTTTTGGAATTATTTAGATTTTATGATAGTTTTTTTCTCAAATTATTTTGATTTTTTAAAAATTGTTTTTAATTATTTCCCAAAAAGTAGGCAAGTGGTGAGGCCAAGATGCCCTAGTAGTCTCTTCAAAGAGCCCCTTTTCTGAAAATTGCTGTGCTAAAATCACTGAATGCAATAAAATAATAATATTCCGCTTTTATATAGCACCCAATACATCGATTCAACGATGTGCCTAAGTGTTTTACAGATATACAACAACGTGACTTAAGCGAATATAGCTCTAGTAATAGAATTGTATTTTAAATGGTTTAAATGAATTTAGACTTGTTAAATCGCACAGTCGATTGGTTGTTTTAACTAGTGAAATGTCAACAAGCATTTGAATTTCTTTTAAAAACCACACCTGTTAATAGCATGTTGAGACCATGTGGTAGGCATGTGGGCATGGGAAAGTACACGTGCCTCTAATTCCTTATCTTTCTTCTCTTATCAATAATCTATGTGTACTGTACAATTTCTACCATAATCATTTATTTGTATCTTGAATCTTGAATATTCAGTGAATGTTTGATCTAATTCCGTGAGAATTGGTATTCAGTTGTCTTTACCGGAACAGAGGATTACCGTAATTAACGGTGTATTACCCACACCTTTTTGCCGCCGAAAAAAATTCAAAGTCGGGGGTGCGGTTTATACATGGTACACGGTATGTAGTTGATAATAATAATTCCTCCAATTTTTCTTCTATTCACGGCGTACCACAAGGTTCTATCCTAGGTCCACTACTGTTTTTTAAGTCGGCAAAAAAAAAAATCAGCAAAAAAAAGTCGGCAAAAAAAAAAATATATATATATATATATATATTTTTTAAGGGCGAAAAAGAGGGGTGCGGTTAAACACACAAGGGCGGTTTATACAATGTTAATTACGGTATCTTGAATTTGTCTTTGCAAGTAATATGGTGTAGAGATATTGTGGCCTTGTGGTTAAGTCACTTGACTGTAGATCACAAGGTTGATTCTCTGCCACAACACTAATGTCCTTTGGTAAGACATTGATCTACATTTGCCACCCTCTACCCAGGTGTAGTGCATGTAAAGGGTTACCTGGTAGGATTTATTCCTTGAATGCACTGAGTGCTACGGTTTCCAGAACTAAGGCATGGATAGTGATGGGCAAAGTACTTAAGAAGTGCATAGAGACATTATAGAAAAATTAAATATAATTTCACATCCTTGGAACTGCAAGTAATGTCATGAAAACTATTTCATAATGCGATATGTGCTATACAATGGATAGAAAGGAATATTTTTTTTGTTCAACCTGGGAAACACAGATAATCCGTGCATACTTTGTGACCTGGGCAGAAAGGTGAATAATGGATCTAGACTGATCTGTATTCCTGGAGTACTTCGACACTGTGCTGGGAAAATCATCCATGGCAATGCCATTAGCTCGGGATAAATTGAAGATTCTAAACCAGATTTCGCCATGCATTAATTAGCCCACGTGCGGCTGGTTAGCAACCCACACAAATATAACTGGAATAATGCGTTGTGGTGGGTTGCAGCACGGTTCAAATTCAGGTGACGAAATTGTTGTTTGGTGGGGGGGGGGGGGGGGATGGAGGAGGGAATTGAAGTAAGTAGGGAGTGGGGACAGGGAGTGATGGACAGTCCTGAGAAGAAAAAAATATTTATATTGTACTATTAGTCCTATAATTAGAAGTATTGATAATAATAATAATCACAATAACAGCAACAATGCTAATAATTTCTCTCTAAGAACCCTATAATCATAGCATTACCCTTTCTTAAGTACAGCAACCATGATTAGGTGCAAAAGCAATCAAGGAATTTCTTCCTACCGGTACCAGGTACCTTTTTACTCTTACTTGGTGAAAGAGAGTGGCATATATATTGAACTATTTTAATCACTCATGACATGCATTTGGTGTTGTTCTTTGTGGTTGAAATAAAGGGAGTGGGGTGGATGTTGGAAGAGACAGACTGGATAAATATTTTTGAAACTCAGATTTTCGGCTGACCTTGCTTGGGCTCCATAAAGAATCAAACAATTATGAATCAAACAATGAAAAATAATTACATTATGCTGGTTGATCTACCCACACTGAGTCAAACATATTGTTTGTTTTCACTTTAATAAAGAACTCGTTTTCCAGGTTCGTCGACCTGCATTAATTGTTATCATATAACAAAACACATAAAGTGTGGGTAGTTGTTGTGGGTCCTCAAGTTTTTACAACTACAAATCTTGTTTTGCAATTGTGAGAATTTCACTTATTCTTTGTGTCATGTTTTCTTGAAGGAGGTATAAACCTCATAGCAGCTAATGCTACGTTTACACTATGTTCCCGGCGACCACGGCAGCCCCGTTTGCCCGAAACGTAGTGCGCCGTGGGATTTAGACCAATTTTATCTCTGGATTCAAGTTTTGTTACGTCTTGCCAAGTTTTCTCACGGTCTACCACGGTATCCGTGACGGCCCTTGGGGAGAATGGGGTGCTGAGTCCCGGAGGCTCCAAGGCGCACTACGGTTCGGCCCGCGTTCTACCACGGATGCCAGAACGTTCCCTCCCGGCCCGTCACGTTCTGATGGGGGTCCCTCACGTTTCCCACGTTCTGATCAAGGTCTGACACGTTTTTCACGTTCTGTCAAGGCTTTGTACGGATGAAACGTGGACGCAGGGCAGCTTTGGAGCACGTTTGTGCCGGCGGTATAAAAAGAAGGTCTCCCAAGCAATAGCAATCATAGTATTCTGAGACCTCACGTTGTGTCAGACCGTAGTAGAACGCAACGCGCCGTAGCGTGCTGGGCGCGTTGTGTCACGTCAATCCCGTTTCGTCCACGGTGGCCTGAAACGTGGTTGCCGTGGCCACCGGGAACATAGTGTAAACGTAGCATAAGAATGGCTTGTATTCTTCTCTTGAAATCAGTTGAATAGAAAGAATAATGATATATTGTTATTCACCAAGGGCAGCTTAGTTGATCGGTAATACTGCTCTTACAAATACTTAACATATATCTCTCCAATGATGATTACCCCAGCATTGCCAGGTACTCACTTTTATTTGATTGTACACCTGGGTGGAGAGAGACACATAAGGGTAAAATACCTTGTCCAAGGATGGAAACACCTTTTCCAAAGATGTAAACACCTAGCAAGGATCAAACCCGGAACCCCTAACATGATCGTTAAAAGCCTTCACCAAAATACCAGGGTGTTTCCATGAAAAAATCGGTTGACTTCAGAAACATTATGGCTTTGTATAATAGAGAGTGCATTTGAATGATGCATACAATACTATCTTATCATTTTTGTTTTGTATTGGGTTGTTTGTCACCCCAATAATCTGATGTCCTTATCTTCAACCCTGACCTTGCATTGTGTACCCAAGTGTAATGCATTATCATGTTTATTTCTTACTAGCTATGTTCACATGGTACCATCATAGTTTTAAATGTTAAGTTTGGGAAACTTTGATGTTACAACACAAAGATGAGTGTTCACACACGACAGAAACAACTGGTATTCAAAGTTTTAAACTGTGAGCTAGGCAAACTTTTATTTTAACTACAAATTAGCATAAATTTGAAGTTAATTGCGTCCACACGGCACATAACTTCAAGTTAGGACCCCCCTGCTGCTTGTAGTTATCTGGTTAACCTTAAGATTGCTTGTGGTTTGTAACTTTGAGTGAAGTTTCATAACCACTTGTCCCTAATTACGAGATTACTTTGAAGTTCCACTTAGTCCCTCACTACATGACAACTTCAACGTTTCAAAGCACAACATAAAGTGAGAGTTAACTGAGTGTCTAGTGAACCTAACTACTATCTCTCTCTCTCTTTCTTCGCATGGTTTCCCAAACTTTGTTTAAGAGGTCTAGCTTTCAGATGAGCTGAGTTCAAAGTCTTTATTTGTCAGCGTTTGTGCCAACAATCTGTTTACTTGTTTAGTTGGTGGGTGACTACGTGAGTACTCGTGCAAAATGTTATTTAGTGCTACTTGAGAATTGGTAGGAGTTGGACTATACATTTATACTGCTCTCAGCTGTTTTTGAAATTCGCATTTCTGTGCTAAATGGACTTTTTCCGTGGAATCCTAGGAAAGGTTTTGCCAGGCAAGACAGGATCAGAGGTAGAAACTCATGGTAATTGGTAATTGATATTGTTTTAAAAAGAATTCTCATGTGTTTATTAAATTCAATTGTTCTGGAAAAGGGGATGGGGAAGGGGGCACACAAATATATTTTTCCTATGCTGTGTATCAGCCCTAGTGCTTCTCCTAGGTCTGACCCAGCAATATTTAGTTTTAAAATTTGATATGTTTTGAAAGTTTTTATAGCTATATGGAAGGGAATATAGGTGCCTAAAAATTTGTCTAAATTGTCTTGCACTTGAAAGTCAGTCACCAGTATGAATATAATAAAATATATTTGTTGGACAGTGTGGTCAATTGAAGTTGAGTACAAATATAATTCAAATACTTTTTCATTTCTTTTGATGAGCATACACTCACTCATAATTTACAAAGTGCATATATATATTAGCATCATAAGGAAAAATGTAAAAGGGCAATCTTTTTTTTTATCCCATATGTATGATTTGAATCTCAGCATAGGATCTGATTATATGATGCATGAAGCTTTGCTAGAGCTCAAATCAGACAAAATATGAAGTAAGATGGCAGATTTGATTTTTAATTTATGTTCAGGACCTCATAAAATACTTGCTTATGGTATGGGACAGTAAATTATGATCAGGTACTTTGGACTTGTCAAACGGTTGACCCAGTTGTACATGAACTTCATGAAGGTTGATCGAAGGCTTCTAGAATAAACAATCTCCTAGTGGATAACTTTATCCAGTATACAGGGACGTTTACACTCCAAGCTTATACCCTTTGTTTTTCTCATATTTCAAAGTTTTTGTTGTTGTTGCTGAGGCAACTACCCGTAATTACAAAAATCTGTATGAAAAAACCCAACTCTTAAGCAGGGCTCCCCCTTAGCTGAGTTGGAGCCTTGAATTGTGGCGAGCTGGCGCGATCTTATGGCAAGCTGTTTTATCATTAAAACATATTTCTTGATATCAAGAATTCAATTCTTGATATCACGAATGGATGAAATTGTTGTTTTTGTATACTCTACAGTACATGTATGTCAAACTTGTGTATTGGACTGATAACCTTTTGGCTCAGCTGATCAAAGGATGCTGATGGCATTGAAACAAAGAATTAATTTGTAGCAAATTGATAATCTAATAAAATCATTTGTATGATTTCAATATCATTTCACAATACCCTTGGGATAACCTGGGCCTTGTTTCATGAACTTGTAATCAATATTATGTATATGTATGCTAAGATTCTAGGACAAATTTCCGCTCAGCTGATCAAATTATATCAGTTATTGTATTTTGTTATTGATAACAAGTTTTATGAAAAAAGGCCCTGCAGTGTTAACTCAATGTGAACAGGGGCTTGTAATATTTGAAAATAATGTAATAGGATTAAGTTTCTGCTGATGTTTATGCAGACTTATGCCAGACACAGTGCTGCCATCTTATCCAATTAATATTGCATGTTATGATATGCCTTGTTTACTAATCAAATGTGAATAGGGCCTTTTCTGATGTTTAGAGTCTCATCATAACATTACAGTGTCTCAGTTTGTAGTGATCAATGCAACTGATATTTATGTGTAAAGAGGGCCATTTTTTAACGTACAAAAACTGGTCATGAAAGTGGATGTATTTCCATGCTAAAGACGTCATGTTCTTATTGCTATGGTGTTCTCCCGTATGAGGCTATTGTAACAAACATCAACCTTGTTATGAATGTGAATACAGCTTTATTTGAGGTAGTAACACGATGGCCCGAATTCACGAAGGAGGTTTGTCGACAAACCTAGGTTCATATGGCGCCTTTTGTCGTGTTTCAGACCAAGGTCTGTCTGAACTTTGGTCTGAAATGCATTGAAACGCATCATATGACGCACATAAACCTAGGTTTGTCGACAAACCTCCTTTGTGAATTTGGGCCATTGACTTTGGAATTCTCTGAATCTCCCGAATGCTTAATACAGTAGTCCAGGCCCCCGTCTTACAAAGAGTTACGATCGATCCAAATCAATCGTAAGTCCTCCAATCAATCGCAAGTTTGCAGTCTCCTATCTCTTATGTACATAGTTACGATTGATATCAATCGCAAATAACTTACGATTGATATCAACTCTTTGTAAGACGGGGCCCAGGGCTCCAAACTAAATTTTTTGGGAAGGGGGTTTGGTAAATTTTTGCTATCTGTATTAGCCGGATAAACTTAATCTGTCTGTGAATTCAGACAACAGCCTTAAAAATAATTAGATTTAATCTGAAGTGATCGCAAGGATTCAGATCAATTTCAAATTTACAATTGCCTATCTCTCAAGTACATGTACATACAAGTAGTTGCAATCCTTTCGAAGCTGTTTCAACTCTTTTATTGAGATAGGGACCAGTTCCACCATCTGTATGTAGGAGATCAAGAACCTTGTTCAAGTGTGAATATGGCCTTTACGTGTATGTATTAATCCAATGTTAATGGGATCATATATATGTTTGTATTTCCAGGGAACAGCGCCACTATCTGCGATAAGTTTCGCAGCAGCAGCTCCTCGGATCTCTCTCCAGGAAGCAGCGTAGATCAACATCCAGCCACGGATAAAAGGTATGTGTCTCTCTTTTTGCTTTCTGTTATATAACTTTCAGTCACAATTTAAAGTGTTATCACCTAAAAAATACAATTTGTGTATAGGTAGAATGTATAAATTAACCTCAAATAACTCTACCTGGCACTCTATAGGTAATCGGTTGAGTATGAAGGAAATAAAGGATAACGTAGAACCCCATGTACAGGGCTTGCACAGGGCCCAAGTCGGACCACTACCTCTGCCTAGCTATACCTCTACCACTACCATTACCATTTCCACCACCACAACCACCAATACCACTACCACTCTTCCACTAACTATAGTTACTACTACTTGGTCTTCTGTAGTAGTACTCTTGTGACGATCATATTATAGTTCATTTCAATTCAATTCATGTTGTTTTAATAAAAGACCTAAAAATCATTTAAAAAGTACATACTTACATGTCTTTTTTTTTGTATTTCAAAAGAATGGTGAAGTTTGGCAAAGAACTATGATTTACTGTAAACACAAGTCACAAACATTATATTTTCATTTTAACGGATAGCAAAAAATATTCCATTTACAATGGGATTTAAAAAAAAAAACACCTTTAAATACAATTATAGAAGGATCACCCACAACATGCTATTACTTTCAAATTACAAAGGAGCTAGATTATTATGTGTAATATCCTTGTTAGATGTGCCAAGACACAAAGGGCATATTATTATCTGCTCTAGCCAATAATGTTATCTAATCTGAAAAAAACTACGAACTACAAATGGATTTTGGACTTTATTTTGGCAGGCAGATGCAAACAAAGGAAAAACAGTTGTTCAGATATCACAACAGCAAAGCAAAACAATAACACCCTCATAATCTGATGAAGGATGATATTATGTTTTTGCCTGGGCATATGAAACAATGCACTTCCAAAGGGAATTGAAATATTATTGCTTAAACTGTGTTACTGTTTTAAGGGGGGAAAATACCTTGTCTTAGAAATAATATGAATAATATTCTGGATATTTCTTGCACTCCCACAAAATATACAATTAACACTGCTGAAATATCAGTTATTTGATGAGTGATGACTCTTTCTCTTGGAAATGCTCATTAGAATATCAAGGGATAGACCAAGATTATTGTAGGGAGAGAGTTGAACAGAAATGGGGTCATAAACAATCGCCTAACCTTGTTATATGTGAATAAATTCATAAGCAGTAAGAGTATAGAAAAGACTTCTGCGTTTGTATCGATATTGACAAGCTAACACTCTATATCTGACGTCCTTAGGGGAGAGTGTGTTTGTAGCAAAAAAATGAATATACTAAAATTGGGGGAAATGCTGGTGCAACCTTATCATAAAACCATATACAAATGCATATACTACAAGAAATATCTCTATATGTCTGTGAGATTCAATGAAAGGTTGGCAAATTATTCATAAAGACAGTCCCTTGGAAGAGCATGAAGCGTGCAGCCATTCTGGCAGACCTTGATGCGAAGTTCGGTTTAGGTATAATGAGCTTTAGAAAATTGTGAGTTTTTTTATTGGCTTACCTGACTGACTCTTTACTGACTCTTCTGTAAATATATTATATTGAAAAAACCACTACGCTTCTAATACTGTAGTCACTTACATGTCGATCATTGCTTGAGGCTTTAAACATGATTTCTTTTGCAAATATTATATGATGGCAATATCATAATGCTGATTACAACAACTGTATTGATTCTTATTTACTGCATGATTGAGTCTTTGAAGGAATTTTGGATATTTTCTCTAAAAAAATCATCAAAACTTCATCATTGCAGCTATTTTGCTGATTCCAACAGTAACAAATTTTTATTTATTGCGTGATTGAGATTTCAGAAGGAATTCTGGATAGTTTCTCTCAAATCCATGTACCCAAGGTCTCCTTTAAAGATATTGATTTTGAGGAACCTGAGCCAAGAAAAATGATATGGATATATTGACTCATGAAGATAGGCTGGTGTTTTTGGCACCTTAAGCTGATGATCATTAAATCTTGATCAAACTTGATGGCACCAGCTCAAAACCAACGGATTGGTGGCAGTGGGGAAGTCTGTGGTTGTGGGTGTAGAGCAATAAAGTGGTGTTCTGACTGCCCTATATTTGCTTAGCACCGTTGTTTTTTTAAACTTTAAGTTATCAAAGTTTTAAACACCAACCCTATTACAAATGATGCAAGTTCATATGACATCAAAACAACAACATTTTTCTCCAAGTTTTGAAGTACCGGTATGAGTCGAGCAAGCAGTTATCTGTAGATTTTTACAAGACTTCAGAACAAAATCAATATTTTGGATCATACAAATCTGTAAATACTCTTAACACTAATGAAGAATGTTGTTTAATTCTTCTTTCTTTAGTATGTATAGATTTATATCTGTTATACTTTCAATTATGTGCATGTATGCCGTATATTCCTTTTAATATCCCATCTAGTCTATTCTGCACAAGTTTCAACACAAAGTTCATGTATTCTAACCTCTCAAAGCTAATCTTGAGCTCTGGTGTGGGAATTATATTTTGAGAGAAAATTGCTATGATTTATTCTGGATTGTTTATCCTGCAGTAGATTGATTGTTTGAACCAGTAAAATAAAAACTTGCTGGAAATCATTTTCAAAACCTCAACTCTCATTTGCACATGGTGACCTGTGTTGAGCACATGGTGTCGGGCCTACTTACCTTGATTTCTTTATCTTTCTATGCTCATTACTCAGCCCCTATACATTTTCTACCAAAATCAATTGGCACATGTCATTTATTTGTAATCTTGAACATTCAGTGTAAGTTTTATTTGATTCTGTGAGAATTTATTTTCTATCATTACCAGAACTCAAGCTTATCTTTAAATTGTGAACATATACTTTGCTATACTTTGAGTATAAACATGTACATGTAATGCCTCCAACCCATGCAATCATAATTGTTCATATTCTGCAGCGGGTTATTAAATCTGAGAAGGCAGGCACATCATTTACATGTAATAGATTTATCGTACAAGCTTTAAAGTGACCTCGATTGAGGAAAGATGGGTTGCATGTAATCATATTGCGATAGTGCTCGGTGATCATTTCTACTTTTATTGCACTCATAGGTGAGAAGAGAGAGAGAGAGAGGTGGGGGGGGGGGGGGATAGAGAGAAAGAGGGGAAGGAGGATAACGTTAAGAGACCAGTGTAACCTTTAGACCCCTTTCTTCATGCTCCTTTTCTTCAATGCAAACAAAGCCATACATAATGTTAGATATGAAACTTTTAGGCACATGAATCGTTCCAAAGTTTTGTGCCTTGTTTAAAGATTCACAAAGATTTATGCTGCAAAATCTTGAATCACAACTGACAGCTCTAAATTTTGGTGATTTGCTACAGTTTCTTGCTGTGAAGATTGCTTTCGTTAACAATTCGCAAATTTCTTGGCATGATTTATAAATCTTGCCAAGAATTTTGAGGAAAGAGGTTGAATTAAAAGGCTTTATCAATCAGAAGCTCTTTTTAGTTAGCAAATCATCAAATCACATGAATACCCATCTAGAAAATAGATTAAGTAAACAGATATTTCCTGGTATTGCATCAATAAAATAATATTCATGCATCATAGATGAGAAGCATGTTTGTTGAACAGACTGAATTCTGCAGGTATGTTCCATTTTAAAGAGTACCAATTTTTAAGGATATTTTGCTCTGTATGTTAAGGGTTCCACGTAGCTATACTATATTCAAGAAATGAGCCCTAAATATTAATTCTGTAAAGTGATATAAATTGAAATACACTCTCAATTAAACAGAGAAATGTCTTGTGAGTATATAGATAAGTAGATGCACCACCAGTACATGCTCTTTTAGAAAAAAAAAGACCTGCACAAGTATAAATAGATAACTGACCCTACCTCAAAAACTCATACAGGTTTGGTAAGAATATGAAACAAATTAGATTATTTAATTAACATACAATTCAATTATTGTCATTATGTGAAATCATATGACTAAAAAAACATCCTTCTGGCTTTGAACAGATGGTATCTTCTTTGATCACTTGAAAGTATGGGGTCACAATTGTTAGTAGGTCCTTGGCAATATAGTCATGTGGTTTGCCTTATAGATTGATAACTACCAGCAATTATTAGTAGCTCCCCTCGAAATGGCTGCACAACATTAATACATGCAGGCATCATTAATGATGATCGTATTGCCAGTCACGTAGAAACAATATATCACCAGTTTGCCAGCTATAGTACTTTTATAATTCAAGAAGAAATATATATAATTGTGTTTTGATACTCTATGCTCATTTTGTTTTTAATCTAGAATAATGCGGCTTCATCAAGATGCGAATTGAACTTGAACAAAACAAGAAATATAAAACTAAAGTCATTTTCTTGTCCAAATCATACCAATTGAGATTTGCATCTTTATTTCAGTTACTCGACCCACATATTGTTTAAGGGTAGAAACTGGCACTGGTATTCTCTTTTATCAACTTTTAACATTTGAAATTTTGAATCAATGATCTTTTGCTTGTAACATATGATAAATATGATATTGATATATAGTCCTTCTCAAGCCTGGCATGTACCATAGAATGATGCCCAAATAATCACTTCAAGACATTAGATTAAAACAAATCTTGGGTGGGCTCTGCCAGCCAGCCACTGGCCACATTATCAGAAGGGGGTTGAGGTCATATTAGATTCGAGGGGTCTGGGGTACTTGTAGAGGGTGTGAATAATGAACACCACGACCTTTGAAAGGTTGGGAGCATGATGGCAATTTAATGTGGTGATTTTTCAAGTTTAATACAGGCAGCGTGCACGTAGGATCCTCAGGGCAAACTAATGGTGTTCACAATGGCCTAGAAGATCATAACAAGTCATAAGAAGAGTGATCATCATGGTTAAAGGCCATACATGGAGTAGACAACTTTTTTTTTTGGGGGGGGGGGTGGGGTCCTCATCCTCTCTTCTGATAACCCTCATTCATTCAAGAAAATAGATGTTTAAAAAAAAAAAATCTATCTTTCACATTCCCTACTTGACCTGTTTTTATACCTTCCGGTAGGACATCATCATAAGTAGAAAGCAGAGGTATTTAAATGGTACACAAAGCTCAATTTATGTATGCTTGGACTTTTGAATTAACACAGTGGAATGCTTTACTGAAGTAATTATAGTTAGGAGATAAATGAGTAGTTACTGGTCGTGTATATCATTTGTATCTATTCTTTTCGTTGTATATATACAATGATGACATTTATTGAATCCATATGTCCAAAGCATATTGAGCAGAGTTAGTAATGGTACTGAATGTTATAAGAGTACCATTACATAAATATACACTGTATACCATGTACATCTCAAGGCATCATCACTTACTTCTTTAACACAGTCATAACATGGACTGCATTTAAGCAGACAGTTTTAATAAAGATGCATTTCTTTATGGTTTTTCTGATCCCACAGCAACGGAAATGGGAAGAAGGTCTTGTCTGAAGGACAAATATCATTTGGTGTGGCTCCAAAATCCTTCGGAGGGAAGCAGCAGCACACAGCAGGGAGGAGAGAAAACGGAGACGGCATGGACACGGGAGATGCATCCCATGTAGCGTTGCTTAGCGACCACACTAAAAGTACTCAGGAGGAAGACGAGAAAATGGACACTATGGAATCGGAACCAAAAGTAATTTTCACGGCGGGTGATGCCGACGACGACGACGATGACTTGTCCCCGTCAGAATCGACGCCAAACTTTCAGTCGTGGCAGCAGCACCACGAGCTGGTGCGAGGTCGGCCATACCTGGCGTTGGACACCAGGATACGATCGCACAGCCAGTCAGAGGTGGAGGACTGTACCTACTACCGCGGGGTGCGGCCGGTCAGCAGTGCCATGCCCATTGTGGACGTGACCGGGCGGCCGTTGAGCTGCGGACAGCGTGAGATGATGCCGACCAGTCCGCGAGGAAGAATAGTCGTTAAAAGTATCAGTGCCGATAATCCCACCCAGATCCTTACGTCACAAATGCTATCTGTCCCCAACGGATCACCATCAAGTGCTCCAAAGCAAGTGCCTGCATCTCGGCGGATCTACCCGTCGTTACCCTACTCACCTTACGGTTCACCATCTGGATCTCCATGTGCCTCACCCCGCACCAAACGACCACCTACCAAGGAGTCCAGGACCATCTCCATTCTAGACAAACTGGTAAGAATCTAATCTCTCATTATCTTATATACATTTTCTGGGTACTATTCGACAGGGCAACCCTGTTAGCTCAAAACCAAAATCAAGAGTACATTAATTTTAATTCTGGCCTGCACCTGACAATATCATGAAGTTTTGAACATAAATGGACATCAAATGATTCATGTCACTTCACCTTTGGCCTGATCTAAGCTATTACATTTACACAACAATCAGATATACTGGACAAAATAACTTGGACGTGCCCTGATTCGTTGATGTTTACTGAGTAATTTTCATTTGACTGAGCTCAAAACCAAACTCAGAAGTACTTTCCCCAAGAAAAAAAAAAATCCTCATATGGTTTCTAAATTAATTAGAATAAATGGATGTGACTCGTTGAATATCTGACAGTTGGGATAGCTAGTGGAGGAGATGATATTGAACACATACAATTAACACCAAGTTATTCATACCCTTACCAACTTTTGTATTTCATAAGTATGTGAAAAATTGATTTGTCCCGATTTACTTTTCTTGAGAATGTGACATATAAAAGTGTACATCTAAAAGTATTCAACAAATGACCTAATCCGGCCATTCCACCTTTCATATATATTTTATTACAAAAAACACAAAGAACACACACCAAAAAAATAAAAAATTACAAGGGTTATGAATAATTTAGTTATTAACTGTATGCGATCTGCAGTAGATATGAACTTATTTTTTTAATGTTTTAAAAGGAAAATTTTTATTGATACCTGAATGATGATACAAATACAAATATACTAATATAAATATGTGTTTTAATATGGTAAGTTTTATATTTTACCTGCTGCATGTCTTCCTTTATTTCTATTACATTTATCATTTGACGTTTTGTTTGCCTTTCATGAAACAACTTTTTCCCCTTCATTTTTGATAATTTTGTTTTCATACAACCATTTGCGAAGAAGTTGAGTATGCAACGATTTAAGGTTTTGTCAATTATACTTGTTCTGTCCAATGAAACTACTGTAAAAGTGATCCAACAAATGTTAGCCTCAGATGATCCACCATTTCCAAAGTTTTTTTAAAGAATTATGTCGTAGAAGAAAATATTTATCAAGTTTGGATTGATCAGGAAGGTCTGTGAATTAGTCATCAGCATCGAACTATTTTTGCAAATGAAGCAGACTTGTGCTTCATCCCTTGCAATCTTCAGACTGAATTTCCAATGAGTTCTACTGCCCTCCCCCCTTCTAGGCGAAAGCAAACAATTCATTTCACCTCTACCTTGAGACAAAATCGGTTTGAGAAAATTCTTCAAGAGCCCCCAACCAACATCTATTTTGGTTGGGTCCCTAGTGGGACCATGTCAACACTGTAGTACCTGGCATTGAAGTAGCTTACTCTGTGGATAAACCCCTTCTGGGTCATTTACACTAAAGGAAATTCATACGCGTCTTTTCACAGGAAATTTGTATTCAGAAACATTGTATAAAGGAGCTAGTTTGGAGAAAGTCAGCTTATATGTACATCATATGTTCTTTGTCAGCTTTCATGATGGACATTGCTTGAGGGTGTAAAACAACACTTAGTGCTGGTCATGTCAGCGTACACTGTGCACTTATGATAAGCACTGCCTGGTTAAAGGGATTTGTTTGATATGTTCTGATGCTGGGCAAAAGATCCTAATTCTGCGTTTTGTTTTTATTCATGAATAATATTTCACACCCCTGTTGCGATATAAAACATTCAGACAAGAATTATTCAATACGTCTTAAACATTTTGCTGTCTTGTTTTTATGTAGCTGTGCAAGAAATGTTGCTAGTGTAGATGGGGGTTGATTCCTGTGTACTGCATCCTCTTGCTTGCTCTCTGTCTATGTATGTTTGTCTACAACGCTGTCTGTCTTGTTTTGGGGCTCTGGCTGTATTTGTCCTTAAATCTCTCTGTGCACGTCCCACAGAGAGATTTAAACTAAAGGGTATAATTTAACTGTATGATTTTGAAAAGATAATTGTATTCTCACAGTGCAGTCTTTGATTTCTGCTGTCATCTTGTTTTCCTCTTAGTCTGTGTATGCGTGTATGTGCAATCATCCTCATTTTTTTTCTTCTGATATATGTAGTGTAAAGCCTAGATTCAAACCTTCCTTAGTGACAGACAACCTGCCAACCAATTTTCCAGACACTTTAAACCGGAAACTTGTGCCTGCATGAAGCTTTAAGAAAAATTGCAAGTTATTGAGGTTCAGAAAAGTTTCAGGTTTTTAAAATATGCAATTGTAGTTGACAGTTCTACTTACACAGTTCTACTTATTCAGATTCTGCTTTATAAATTCCCCAGCATCTGTCCATACAATGCAAGAACAGCCCAGATATACTTACACCTCGCTCAACTTGAATAACTCTTTTTTTTTTCTTTTTTTTTGTGAAACATTTTCAGAACTACGTGCAGCTGAACCAGTACCACTTGAAAGATGAGATCGGCAAGGGTTCTTACGGAGTCGTCAAGCTAGCCTACAGTGAGGAAGACGATACAAACTATGTGAGTAAACCAAACACAAAACAATGAATATTTGCTCGATTAAAGGTGGCCACTTACATTGAATTTGTTGTAAAAGCCCTCCAGTCAGGCTTTTAGCCAGGATATCAAAAGGGGGTGTCCTGATTGGTACGCCGGGTGTCACAGAGAGACTTTCCAGTCTGTAATTGGATTTTGATAAACTATAGGGCATCTTTCACAAGACATGGACATTGAAAAGACACCCATTTATACTTTGTGGTTGAAGGCTTGCCTCCATTCAATATTTCAATCATTTCATGTATTTTATTCATTAAAAAATGAAACATTGAAATCAATCTATTAATTAAGCCCGCCCATGGGAAACAAAAAAGTGGCCACTGTAGATAGGTGGCCTAGCTGTCTCAACATGGTCTTAAGCACACATTTCCTTCTAGAATAATGCGTTATTGGTGGCTACTAAAGACAGATGGCATTTACAGAGAGGTGGCCACTAAGATAGGTTTGAATGTGTTTGCAAAAATGAAGAAAAAAAATACTCAAGAACACCCATGCTCTTGAGAAGTATTAGCACGGCTGCACTCTTACTTATGTAAAAGGGGCCTTTTTGAAGGTCTGTGGTGTACAAGCAAATGCCATAGGTATGTTTTATTGTTATAAATAACGGAGCAAGATGATATGCTTAATGTTATAAAATCGCTTTCTGCTGCAAAATCATTGAGTTTTCTCCTTAACACTATACCTGAAACATTAGATAAAGTTATTATATGTATACCTGTAGTTATTCCAAATAGAAGTCAAGGTGATATCATTGTTTATGAACTTTATATCCTCAAGGAATTAAAAGTGTTATGCCAATTACTGCATGTGTTCAAAGATATAATTACCCTTTTGTGTTTTGTTAAAGTTGATACTCTAAGCAAATAAATGTCCCTTAATTTGTTACCTACGGCAAGTATGTTATTTTTAAGTTTTTCAATTACTTAGTATATCACAAAAAAATTCTGTCTACTCGAAATCCTTAATTGAAATGTCTAAAATATCCGCCTCTCTTTGCATAGAAAATCAGTCACGACGCTGGTCTACTATTTATGACCTCACGTCCGGGAGAGAGTATATTCACGTACCCGGATGTTCCATAGCAAACATGTGCAGAGTGATACGATTTTCTGCATATTTTTGTTTCAAAGGCTGAAAAGTCTAATAAATCATAATTCTATGTACAATTCTTTACCTTCCCCTAGTACTTCATAGTATTAATATCAATTCCCCTTTTAAAAATTATGACATATACATGCCAACGATGTGCTATTAGTCGATATTTTCACCATGCAATTTTTGTTTTGGTGTTGAAATCGGCCCAGGCACGGAGTGAACAGTAGCTGTCTACCCATGCACAGTTCATTACACACTACAGCGATCTCCCGATGCTTTCTTCTTCCTTTTTCCCATGTCTTTCGCCTTCCTTGGCCCTGAACATCCTTCATCTACCAATTCTGACACCGGTAGTCAGGAGCAAGTCTTTGTTAGTTGTTTTTCTTAGCTGGCAACGTCGCTTTCATTCTCTTGCAATTGCCGATAAACATATAACTAGCGCACGTACGTTCCATCACAAGCAAGCAGCGCCTAGAGCAGCGGCTTGGTCTTACCTCCCGATTCTGCTCGCTCCACGAACGTTCATGCAAGAGCCGCATCACTCGCCAAAATATTATAGAGGAAGCGCGCTTGCATGATCTCGTTCAAGTTTGATATTTTACAACATAAAATGTTTAACTGGTACCGTATCCTTTTTTGAGGCAGTCACACATATCTATGATAAGTACTATCATAGTTCTAGACCGATTCGTTTTACAAAACTGCTCATGTTCATCTGATGACAATATAATGCATCCGCCTATTCATAAGTGCACGATTTAACTTTAATTCCTAAGCAGTAAACTCGTCTTAAATCTCTACCAAATAGGTGAATATGAGGATATAAAAAGAAATCAGCGACTGGAAAATGTTGCTTCGTTATTCTTCATTCAAATGAAAACAGAAAATCCATCAAATATACTCCTTAACTACAACAAATCTAAGCTCTGACAGGATAGCATTTACGTAGGGATATCACTGCCATTCACTCTCACTGAGCCCATGACTCCCGTTCGTGACGTCACGGATAGAGGCCCGACTCTACGTGCACTTCCGGGTTTCAGACTTAGATATTTTGGTAGAGTTTACACGAATAAATTCATTATTTTAAACTTGTTTTGTCGGGTGGACACCATTTGGTGTTATTATTGGGGTTAAAAGCTTTCTATTTATGTAATTATCTCAGTATTTGGGATTGTCTTAGAGTATCAACTTTAAGAAATGGCCATTTCACAATCTTAATATCGCATATAGACAAAACTTGCTATTAACGTGTCTGCAAATTTCAATACTTGCAAGATATTTAGTTGCTCCATTTCAATCATTTTCCCAAGTCTGTCAAATGTTGTCATAGCCCCTAACCAATCTAATGGTACCTTCAACAAGTAAAAATCAAAGCGGAGTAATAGATAGTTCGCCTGTCATGATCGTATTGAATGTATCTTGCAAACGGCTCAGCTTTTTCTTCATCATCTATATATGAAAAGGAGTATCCGGTGCCACATAGAATGCGGTCAAGTAGCTACGATAGCCTGGCATGTCCTTTTATTGTCAAGCATTTGGTCTGTAATTAGCTAATTGCAAATTGTCTGTCAATGCCAAATCAGGCTCACTTAACTAATGGCACCATCCCTGCTGCCGGTATGGCCCTATTCACACTTGAAGAATGAGAGCGGTCTTATGCTGTCTCTGTACCCATTGTCCTGTGGAGGTTGAAGGAGGACAGAGGAAACAGTAGTTAAATGTGGACCCGGCCTTAAGTCTGCTTTATTATGAAACTGTTGTCAGTTTATATTCTTAAGCCTCGTTCAGATATGCCACTGTAAGCCGTGCATTTTTTGTTTTGCGTGTAACACAATGGATACACACAGGACCTTGGTTGCGCGCAGTTGCCATTCCTTTACATATTTAAAATAAAAGCTAATGCTGTTTACCCCTTCATAGCAGAACGAGTCTTTATGGTTAGTGCAAAAGGTAAAAAATATTAGGAATCATGCGAAAGAAACTGACTAGACATTAATTTTGGAATGGTCAATTAATATACTGATAATTTGTAGGAATAACTGTGTATTGTGTATTGTGATTTTTTTAATTTTTTTTATTAAAACTGTAACATACTATCTAAGTCTTGCCAAGTTGCACCGCTTATAGATATGGGTACATGGGACTGCAGCAGCATGAAGCCTTGAAAATGTGGTTCATTGTTGTGAAGTATTTCTAGTTATATTTGCTATTAAATAAAGTAAAGAGCATGTCAGCAGCCTCAATCCTTTTTATAAGACATTGCCCCTATGATCTTCTTTTTCATAGGAATGAAGAGTTGAGAATGCTCACAAATCACAGTTCACACTCACCAGAACTAGACCATCTCATATGTGTTTCTTTTTTTTTCACTTCCAGGCAATGAAAATCCTATCCAAGAAGAAACTCATCAAGAAAGGAGGATTTGCAAGTTAGTACTGGGCTGACGCCTTACAAAAGATGATGCAATGTTGATGATGGTTATGATGATGGTGATAATGATGGTGATGGTGATGATGATGATGATGGTGATGGTGATAATATCATCCGTCTGATACATTGCTAAAACATACCATGAGATTGGGTGGTCAAGAATTGCAAACACATTTCCTGCCCCAAGGAAAAAGGTGTGAGGATTTCCAAAGTTGAACCTTTGACTCCCCCTTCCTATCAAAGCTAGAGTCTAGGTGTAGTAGTAATTGTAGAATTCATGATGATGATGATGACTTGAAAAGCAACTTGTTAAAAAGATTTGGGGAAAAGTGGGGCAATGGAGAGGAATGAGATCAAAGTATATTTATTGCTAAAAGCTGAGAAGTTTTTAATTTTTGTGAAATCATTGTGAAATCAGAACATTTTCTGTCCTTCATGAATTTAGAATGTTTGTGCATGTTTATCTCTTCTTCCTCTCTTGCCATCTCTCTTTCTCTACCTATCACTCTCTTTCTCTACCTATCACTCTCTTTCTATCTGTCTCTCTCTCTTTCTCCATCTATCAACCTCTTCCCCCTTCTCCCCCCTCTCTCTCTCTCTCTCTCCCTCTCTCTTACATTCCATATCCCTTACACAACATAAGCACATAGGTATAACATTCCAGAATTCATGTTGGTTTCTCACTTCTAAAATTTAGGCAGCAGTTCAAGTCTGGTTAAAGACAGGTGGATTATGATTCTAATTCCCCTGGAACGTGTACATGTTGTCAGGTCTAGCTGATAAGCCTGCATAGGACGTGGCTTGCCAAGTTGGACTCGTTGGATGACTGACAAATTGACTAATTTGAGGGATGTTCACATTGGCTTAGCATTATTATCCCCGTTTATTCAGGGCAGAGGCATGTTCTCGCGTGTGGTAAAATTGGGTGAAAAACTAGAATAAAGCTAGATTCAAATTTGTAGCAAATAAGAATAATGACAGCATAATAACAGTAATATTTGTATAGTGCATTACACTATATTTCTAGATGCTGCTTATAAGTATAGGCTTGCATGGTGATATACAGTAGGCTTACAGTTGCACCATGTGAGATAGAGGGGGATGATTGTGGAGTCCTGAACAGGACTGTCGGTAATCTTTCTTTCTTGAGTGTGTGTGTGTAGTCCTGAAAAGGACTGTTGGTAGTGCATAGCATTACACATCTAAGCACTTTACATACCACCTGCTTAGAGCCAAGAGGGTGCTAACTCTTGTAAAAGTATTTGACCTAATGCCCTTTTAGCTCTCAGCCGAAGTTATGATGATTAGCATTGCCCTGGTCATTGGATAATAAAATTTCATTCTTGTGTAGCTCACATCAGATAATAACGTCCCTATGCGCTTCCAAAGAGCTTTGGAAATTATTACCCTAGCTTTAGCTCCGGTAGCCATTATCAGCGCACAGTGTATTTCAAGGTATGATCCTACCAGGTACCCATGCATTCACCTCACCTGGGTCGAGTGCGGCAAATGTAGATTGATGTCTTGAAATTGGAGAAGAAGAATAAGAAGAAATACTTTTGTATAGTTAATGAATTAAGCTGATTTCCCTCATCTCCCGGTGTAAAAGTGCATACCTTAGTTATTTAGGTTTTCAAGATGACTTAGAGTGAGAGGTGTAAATACGTTGATTCTTGTGTCTTTAATTCTTGCTTTATCTCCTGATGAATATGGAAAGTAAAATGACCTTTGTGCTGTGTACAATATACATGTGCAAAGAACTTGAAGGATTTATTGTTCCATTGGAATGTTTATTTACTCACAGCATTGTAGTAGGAGCAGTGAAAGTGTTCCAGATATTGTAATTTATGATGTAAATACTTGATTGGAAAAGTGCATGTGAGAACTATCTATCAACTACTGTTAAGTGCATGTATATTAGGAGAGCCATGTTAGCCTTCCTAAAATATGACTGGAAAATGAAGAAGAAGAAGAAATACCTTGTTTTCCTGTGATGATCACTGATGTCTTATTCGCTATATTCTGAATGGTGATCGTGCCGAAAAAATCTCAATCAAGAAATTTGAACCAGATTAATGTTATTTTCTGGAGAAAAAATGCTATGCCATTTTAACATCGCAAGAACCCCCCAAATATGCCCGATGTCTGGGAACCCTTTTATGTTACATGCCCTAAGCCATACAGTCTTTTATTTTTTTCTTGTGTTATGATTTGAAGATACTAATTCTTAATTATGAGATGGTTTCACACTCACATCACATTTCTTCTTCAGAGGCTCAACAATGGTATGAGTTGTTTCTTTTCCCACAGCTGATTTACTTCAGCACTACGTGTCCACATGTGTCTAGCTGATCAGGTAATGCACTAAGTTTAAAAATACTCTTCTTGGTGGTCTGCTCAGGAAGGGTTTGAATTTTCCAAATGTGAACAGAACCTGCATGAAAAGACATGTCAGCAAATGCTCACATATGGCAGCATTTCCACATTTCCCTGTCCACCTATAGATCAATTCTTTACTTTGGAGCTTTATTTTCCTGTGTGGTAGGGTACATAGAGAGATTCAAATGTGAACAGAGGCTGCTGTGATTTAAACGCATAGACACATTCACATATTGTACCATTTCCACTTGTACAGATGTGCCTGTGCCTACCAATATTAGATTATATGTCGCTGCATGGTTGAGTATTGAGGATAAGCTTATTCAGCCAGATGTGCACACAGCTTTTATGGGTTGCGGGGGTTACATACTTCTGATCACCACATCAGTACTTGGGTTCAAAGTTCAAATCACCACCTCGTACAAGGGTTTAAGCTTCCGTCCGCCCGCCCAATGTGAACAGAGCCTGCATTGATTGAAATGCGCAAGCCGCTCGCACATGGCCACTTATCTCCAGTCTGAGAATGTGACAGAGAGGATCTGTGTGTCTATGTGATTGGGCATGTGGCCAACCAATTAGGAATGCGTCACACATAATTCCATCTCAGAGAGGGCCCCCATCCACTCTTTGCCCTCCATTAACCTTCCCCAGGTAGCGCCAGCGGGTGGGGTCTATCAGGGGACAACGGGGCTACCCTTGACCAAGGAAATGCTCCACTTCTCTGCCTTGACTATTAAACACTCTTCAACAGGGTGAATTCTGTTGAGGTGAACAATACACAAAAATAAGAAATCATGGATTACATCCTTGCTGTGATATAGTTGAAGATAAATAATGAAGGTCAGGAACGGTTGTGGGTCAAAGATTACATTTATCATCTCTTTGAAGAAGTAACTTTATTTTGAATAGCAGCAAAAAATTAATTCACGTCTCATTGATGTATGATGTTTCCATGACGATGTGTGGGTCAAATTTTTAAATAGAGTGAAAATCATGATTTAAAAAAATAAATCCCCCCTCCCCTCTTGATCCAACACCATCGCTAGGTCTTTCAACCTCACCCCTTTCTTAAATAATCAAACCCTGCCCCCTGTTTACCCCAACACCATCTCCTATCTCCATCAAAATTCATAATCAAATTAAGCAAAATCATCCCAAGTATTTGAACTTTTGCCATCCCTCCGTCGACTCGTGGCGAGAAAAGCTTCATGAAGCCAGCAACGTGGGGCGACATCCAGCTACTGCAGTGCATCTCATTCACAAAATCAAATTGACTTTGAAGATGGAAGCCCTAGCGTAGACTATGCAAGCCCCTATATGTCAGATTTCTTTGAATTTCCATTGAGAACATCTAGGTACCCTCAATTTGAAATGGTGGCAAAGTTTCTTTTTTTCCCCTTCTCCAATATAAGTGATTATAAGAGTAGTAAAATCACTTCTAGACATTCTAGAGACAGAACTGTTTAATTGATATTTAAAAGGATTAGAAGAGTGACAGAATAGTCTAAATGGTATATAACCTTCGACCCGCTGGATGCAACTCTTATATTATTACATCCAACTTCTAAACTTTGGTAGAGGACAATTGTAGAAGTGCACCTCTGTAATGAATTAATCACAAGAATTTGTGATTAATCAATATCATACAGCTTAAAACAGACATTACCCCCATACTTATAGGGCAGTTTGTTTACTCAACCAGTTTTTTTATGTGTAGGTGCATGCTGCTTGGAAAAAGAAGTTCAAATCTTTTTTAAATTCTTGTTTCTTGTTTCATCATTCACAGTATATGCTCTTTGCTCTAGTTATTAAGTGAACTTCCTGTCATAAGAATCGTTCCGTGCATGCATACACACGCAACAACAACTTCCGTAGAAGGGGTTAATAATACAGGGTGATCTCTAAAAAGCTCTGCTTTGCCCGGCTTTGACCTTCCGTGCCGAGCGTCGTGCGAGCAGCGGCGGGGTAAGAAATCCACACTGCGATGTCCATATTCATGGATATTTGCTTGGTGAGGCAAGTGTGAGCCTGCAAAGGTAATGTGTGCCAAATTGAATTTGGGTCCGTAATCTTGCCCTCCGTGCATGTCATTCCAAATGTGGGTGATAAACTGTGCTCTCGTATACATGCTACTGCCGCTTCCTTGTGGATGGCGGGTAGAAGTCATTTCGAGTCCAGATGTAGGGGAAAGAGAGAGAAGGGGAGAGAGGTGGAGAGAGAGAGAGAGAGAGAGCAAGAGGTGGATAGTGAGAGAGAGAGAGAGAGAGAGAGAGAGAGGGGGGAGAAGGAGAGGGAGAGGAAGGGAGAAAGGGTGGGAGGAGGAGCTGGACGTGGAAACAGAAAGAAAGATCTAGAGAGATGATCATGAAGAGAAAATGAATTAAGGATGGAGTAAAAAATATAAAGAAGGGAAGAGGAGGAGGATAGAGAAAGATGAAGAAGAAGTAGATTGGAAAAGACATAAATGGAAATAGAGCGAGACGAGAAAAGGAGCGAGAGACAGAGAGAGAGAGAAGGAGGGTAGTGATAATGGGGCGAGAGATGCTTAGAGTGTTGTGTCTTCAACTCTAGAGGTTCTATTTTAGGCTTTAAAAACACTTCTTATGAGAGCATTAGAGG